AAATAAATGCAACTCACTTGAGATATTTGGTTTGCAATATATGGTTAAAACGAAGTGGGAATTGACGTACTGAGAAGAATTCCAAAGCGTTTTCTATTCGTAGTGACCATGAGTGACGTGTTTCTCTGCCCTTGGACAGTGGATGGTGGACTGCATGAGGAATTGTTTCCATTTCGTGGTGCCCCTTGGTCATTTGAAAGATTTAGAATCGCGTCTACGGCAAACTTCAGATACACGTTGTCAGCTTCTCGAAATAGGAAATGCGCAGCCCCACACCCTTACATAAAGGGGGTGGGGGGCTGGTCTCCCAAAACAATTTTTTTCGGCCCTTCGGGCATCAGTTTGGTTTAAAAATAAGGGGGGACGGGCCCCTCCCTTGGATTCGCCACTATCCAATAAACCACGAGTAAAGGGAAAACTTTGTCACGTGCAACAAATTGACGCTTGACGCAAACGTGATTCTGAGTCCATCAAAAGATTCTTGTGTCTATCTTATATTTGCGCTGCTTCAAACTTCATCGCGCTTATTCCATATCGTTCAATTCGTCAAATGTTGGCAAATTTTGGTGGAGTTAAATTCCAAAGGACTGTCGGCGAAGTTAAGAAAAAGAAAGACGTTGTCTTGTGTTTACGTCCTGTACAAAACGTGAAATTATTCAATTTCACGTCCTAGTCTTACAGCGACTGCAGAGAAATGTACAAAAAAGCGTGATGCACGTACAAAGTTGTTGTTTTGCCGATCCAAACCTGTTGCTTTTTTGCCGTTTTCGTTGCTGTCGCCGTCGTTACTGCTTAATCTTCCTACTGCCAACCCCTCGTTGTGATTTAAGGTGAAAACGTGTGGAAACAACTGCATAAGTTTATTTGGAATACAGAAAGAACTGGTTCAAGTGTCAGTAAAACGTGCCTTTCCTGGGGCCCGTTTCTCTGAGGCGGTCCCGAAGCCTGATCTTCAAATTATTACCTACGGGTTCTCGCTTCCTGGTCAGTCTTAAGAGTGATAGTTTTATTATTGCTTTACTATCGAAACTTTATTTTCAATAACCGTTGCTAACACAGCAAAGATAAAGGGGACGACTTTCCGGGCGCGTCAGTTACAAGGGCGTAGCTAGGGGGGGGTCCTGGGGTGCCCGTGACCCCCCTTGGTAGACCTTCTTTTCAGCAAACAACCTACAATATTTAGGTGGCGAAAACGCCATCTTGGCCGTAAAAGCCATCGTTGAAAAGCCCACTTTTTTAAAATTTGTTTTTTTGTAAAGTATTTTCGTCAACGGCTCTTGTCTTTAGTTAATATGGGCCTTCATGCCGCGGTAATACGACTGAGCCCGCTGATACACGAGGGAGAGCAGCGGTATAAACCATATATAGTCGGCGATCCCTGGATGGTGTCCCTGCTTAACATAGCTCTGTGACCCCCCCTTTGAAAAATCCTGGCTACGCCCCTGAATTACCATGACTGTAGAGAAACTCGCCACTCAGGATTGTTGAGCACATGTAGTTTTCGACTTTTGGATGAATAATTATTAGAGTTTTGAGGAGATACTTACAGGAGTTTTAACTACGATTTTGTTCAAAGCCATGGAGTCTGCATAGGATGTGAGTGGTAAGCTGTGTTTTGGTTTGTTTTTTACGCTCCTCGCCATGATTTGTAAGATGAAACTCAATACTCTTCGTTTCACCGCAGTTTTACCGATTTGCGACCTTTATCCTTCGACAAAATCAGTTATTGCACTTCAGAGTCTGGTTATTGATGAGCGCAACGTTTACGCTAGCCACAGCAAAGGAACGCGGGAACGCGAGAGGTGACGTGAAAAAGACAAACGGCAACCCTAACCTTTACTTAATTTTAGGTATTCCGGGGTTTTTCGGGTTCACGTTTCAGTACATGCGGCCAACGGCTATCATTATCCGTAGAGTGAAGCTAGTGCTTAAAGAGTGCCTTACAGATGCTTGGGCTTTGCGAGGCGTAAACACAGGATTCTTCTCCAGTGGCAGTTCCATGCTGATAAGACTAATATGGACGAATCAGCTGTGATTGTCGCTGCTTAGTCCTGCCTACCGACGTGAGCAAAGGAAATAGGAAGAGGACGTAGCACGTAGGCAAGCAGGGAGTTGAGTTGTACGTAAAATGTCTTCTATTCACATAAGCAAACTGGTCTGTTCACGGTTTGGGCAGATGACAAACAAAACCCAGGACTGGTAAATTTAAATTGGGAATCGAGTGAACCATTTGCGCAAATCAGTTCCTTTTATCGAAAAACGGCAACGAAAGCGGGGATGAGTCTGAAGAATCGGAAACGAATCCTCGTTTGGGACCATCTGACCTGGATTACACTGTCAGAATCATCTTTTCAGACATTCCGTTGCCTTCGAAATGTTTCACTGAAACGACCTAACTAGAATTTTTAGAACGTTTTGGAAAATGTAAACGAATGAAAAACTACTATTGCTGTTTGTTTTTATTATGTATAAATGAATTTGCACGGTGTAACCTTAATTCACCACCATTTTTTTACTTTGTTATGCGTGTTTGGCTGCAGTTATAGGACTGAATCGGCCCATTTCAATTCGACGCGCGGAGGAACCATCATCATCGCCAGTCCTCTTCGTTCAGAGTCCGATGGAACATAGGTCCTCCCCTAGCTAATTCTCGTCATCCGACTCTATTTTGAGCACTAACTTAATATTGCCTTTCGCCACGTAAGTCCTTTCTCCTAAAGTTCCAACATCCTTATTTGCCTTTAAGTGTTTCGGGCCCTTCGGCTCTCTCTAACGCTTCCCCTGTAAGTTCCATTCAAGGCTGTCTTGGCCACATTTCCGTTTGATCTCCTTAGTTGGTAGCCAATCCATTGCTATGTTTGTCCTTTTATGCCTCCTCTATCGACTGCTTCAGGGGCACCCAATGACTGTTTTTTGTAAAATATCTGCTCGAAGAAGTAAATACTGCCTAAAAGTTTAAATAGCTTTTAATAGAGTGGCTAAAAATTGCTAGATGACCGTTCAACTGATGTACGATTTTCGAAGTACTATATGAAGAATTCCCTACGATTTTCTGACCTCCCCAGGTTAAGCTATATTTCGTAGGTAAAGAAAACCTAAACTTTTCGGATTAGAAAAACAGTAGAAAATGTAATGTAGCCAGGAATAAAAAAAAATTCGTGAAGCATTAAATTGCATCGAAAATTTTCGGGAAAATAACCCTGAAGTCCTTTCAATTTTGAAAAGACCCAAGTTACCCCAGGATGACCGAACAGATACAAATTTCATAGCGCCGTTAAGAATGCATTTCTAGAGATCTAAAGGTACTTTGGGAAGCCTAAAAAGTGTTTAGGAGGGATTTGTTGTTGGGTGCCCCTGCTGCTTCCACAGGCCACTAAAAAAAAATGAACACTGCAACTTATGTCTCAGCTAATTGGCTTATCTCCAAGTTTATGCACCATACAAGAGCACGGCCCACACATTTGACCCAAGTTTCTCAACTTGGTCCGAGTTCTCGATGAGTCAGCACCGCAAAATCCTGTCTTATCCGGCTTCTCACTGAGTGCCTGAATTTCCTTCTCTGTTTCCTACCTCACCTTGTCTGCCACCTCAATCTGCCTTCCCGCAATCATTCCACCATCGCGTTGTTTGGCACCAAACGCATCAGCTTTGCCTCTGTGGAACTGATCTTCAGAAAAAACTTTCATACTCTGCTCCTCTTAGCCCGTGTCTTGATCCTCGTGTCTTGGGCTGGAGTGACAACAGGGCCAGATCGCGAAACTCAGATCGTTAAGGGATACCATGTTTCCTTGCAATAGCCTGCGAAGCGCAGATGTGTTTCGGGTCGTCGGAAATACGTCAGCGCTTCACAGGCTACCATGCAAAGGCTGTTCCTGTCATTTAATCTAGAGGGACCAGGAAACAACAAGGGTAACAGAAGACAACCTTGTCTTAACTACCTTCTCATGCTTAGCGGTCTGGACTTTTATTATGTCTAACCCTCTGTTTTCTGTTTAGAGATCGTAAAGCGCGCGTGCGAAAATAAACACCGCGGTGGATTAATTCGTATTTGAGTGAGTGATAACCCTCTTGTCTTGGTAGCCTGCGTAGCAGCTGGTATGAGATGTTTTAGGGAGGTAACCTGCTTTTTTACGAATAATAATTTACGAACTACGAAACAACGGCAAGCTTCGTAGGCTAGCTTGAGGAAAAAGGTTGGTCTAAACGGACTCTTATTAAAAAGGGGTGCTTGCAATTTCCACAAATTTGTTGCTCCAAAAACATCCCCCAATGGAGGGTTATTGCTTTGAACCCTACTTCCCCCAAATCCTTACCCTGCGAGCAGAGGCCCTTCGATCTTCCTAGATACTTATCTAGGAAGATAGAAGGGCATCTGCTCGCAGGGTACCAAATCCTAGACTTTCTCGAAGTCCTTCGCTTCAGCCTGAATTTCATCCGATTACTTCGAGTCGCGAGAAGAGAAAACGACTCGAAGCAATCGGATGAATTTCAGGCTACCTTCGCTTCTCATTTCCGGTTCCGGTAATTGGAAAAATCTTCCGCTCGCGCTCGTGAAAAAATTTGAGCTCGACTTGTAGGCAAGTCTACCCAAATCCGGCACTATGGAAACTCCAGGGTGGATTCATACGCAGCAAACGTGTACAGCCGTACGCGTCTAGGCCCCGTCTACTCGAATTCTGATGTATTTTTAAGACAGCATATTTTTTTTTACCCGAATAATCCGCGGATGAATGAGCGGATTCACAGGTATCGTGTGGACGGTAGGCCTGTTTTAAGTGTCGCCACTCAACGTGGGGAGGAGCGTTGCGTAACGACACTAAAACGACAGTGAAGCAGACTAACGGAAGGCCGATTCGTGTTAAAAAATATAGGAGGCAGAAAATATAACAGCACATTTTACATAACGGTTGTATTTCAAAAAGTATAATTCGCATTCACTTGGTACATATTTACAGTTAATCCAGGGCAATAACTTCTGTAATTTTTCTCGAACTATTTGTAGCGAATATTTTTCCTGGCAGTGAATTTCATACCCTAATCTTCTTCTATTCTTCATTTCATCGAGAAAAAGATAATTCTTAAATTCTCAAATATCTATATGCAAGGTCTTTAAAATGTGTTAACAAATTGAGATAATCAAGTGGCAAGAAAAATTGACACGAATCGAACATATTTTATAATACACACTCTTGTTACCCTCTGAATTTCCAAGCCCTCGTGAGTAATTCTGAGCATGTGTCCAACTTCAATACGTGATAGTCCTTGTGATAAAAATAAGAATTTTAATAACTTTTGCAGATATTAGCGGATCTCAGTAACTCCAATGTACATTTTCTTTTTGGGATATCATGTTACTGCGATTCATAGCTCAGACGAAATACAGACATTTTACTTGGTCTAAGTAACTGGTCGACACAAAAGGTAAAAGCACAAGAATTGTTGCAACAAAACAGGGTCGTTCGTCACAAAACCTATATTTTGCTGCCATTTTCTATCATTCTTTGGCGCAAGACGTTTTAAACCTCTGCACCAGCGTATGTCACCTTCATTTTGAAGTCAGAATGGATTCTCTCAGGGCTACAAAATCTAGATTTTTCGCGTTACTGACCTCAATACTTACAGGCAATTTCAAGAACTAGGTGGTACTTTTCAGGTTTCTCTTAATATTTGCACAAATTATTGCAAGTAGACAAAATAAACCTTTTCATAAATGGAAATCATCCTCAAGTATTTTTACGAAAAGTTATGGTATATGCAAAGGAATTTTTTAGTGCATTTAGTGCGCGTCCCAGAAAAAAAAAAACAACAAAAAAACAGCCAAAAGCAACATTAAATTTGCCTAAGCATCCACTGTTGAACATAAAAATTAAAAACTCCACATGCTTTAAATCACAGAAGGAGAAAATTCTGGCAAAAGATTTACACAAAGATGAACATCATTTTACCGTGACAGGACAGTAATACATCGTTACAGCTGTCAGGATGATGTCGCTCTTACAGTGCTACAAATGCTGTCCAAAGCACCGGAAAAGCTGTGAACAACCTTGCCAATCCTTTCCATATCAACGGCATTGAGATTAGGACCAACTGTCTGCATCACACCCTCAATGTCACTATACTTGTTCTCAAGATCTGTTACAGTCCGACGAACTTTAAACCTAGCTTGAGGTCCCAATGAGTCAGTTAAGCTTGAAGAGGACTCCAACACCTCTCGCGAGATTTTTTGAAGATCACTTATAGTGTCAAGTAAATTATTTTGTGAATCATCCATTATTCGGGCATCAGTTAAAGAAAGTATCTCTTTAACTTTTGATTGTCCTTGATTAGAAAGCTGCAATATCTCATTCACTTGGGGGGACAGACTAGGATCGGGTTTAAAACTGGGAGGGGTGATTTTAGGTCTCCTAGGGATATTTGGTTTGGCCGGGGGTTTTGGTTTAGGTCCCCCAGGAGATGGTCTATGGCCAGGAGAGGACAGATTAGTCTCTGATGGGACAGTTTTTTGCTGAACAGCATTGCTGCTACTATTGATGGGTTTTCTCGCAACACCTGGAACTGAAGGAGGAGGGTGTACTGGTTTGGACTTGACGGAAGGTTGTCTAGAAATGTTTGGTCCATTTCCAGTTGGTGACATTGGTCTTTCTGACTTTCTGGGAGTGGCCACCCCTTTTCCATTTTCGTTTTCTTGAGTGCCATGCTGTTGGTCAACACTACTAGGGTGCTGCTCTCCTCTGTGTCTAACGCGGGGTAATGGCCGCGGTTTAGGGGAAGAAGTATGATCATTGTTCACTACCTGTGATAAACTGGCATCAATTGAAGCTAGACTTGAACTGGAAGTTGACTTCTCAGTATCCTTCAGTTTAACTGGGGGCGGAGGTGGTGGGGGTCGGTTTCGAGGGCGCGGAACTGGACTTCTTGGCTTGCCACCGTCAATAGGTAGATTATCTGATGACTTGGCTCGTGCAGGGCATGGCTTGGTAGCAACCTCTGTTGGTTTGGGTTTCTTAGAATTTTGAACATCCTGTTGATCCTCTTCTATGGGCTTCATATCTTCATTGAAAGGGCTTGAAACCTTTTTATTATGACCAGGGACGGGCGGTGGAGAAGAAAGAGACTTTTGTAGAACTTGACGAGGTGTGGCTGGCAGGGGTTTAGTTTGACCCTGATGGAAAGGGAGGGGTTTATTAGGGGTTTGATGAGGCGTGGCTGCACCCAGCTTCGGTCCCTTTTCATGCCCTGGAGGTAAAAGCGGACGCCTCAGCTGACCCTGGGGCTGCTGTTGCTCTTTTTGTTCTTCTTGTTTATGTTGGTAATCTGTTGGCAGAGGTGCTGGAGGACGTTTCTGTAAACTACTGGCATCAAATTTAGGAGGATGATCCTCTTTTTCGGGCGTTTTACATCTTAATACATCGGATGACTTTCTAAGAGTTCCAGACCTTGTTCCTAATTCCTTAAGCACATTACTCATGGCGGGGCCCCCTTGTGATTCCGTTAGCGAATGGCGATGGGTAGATTCCGGTTGTTCATTAACAGTTTGTTCTTTCACCGCTGGCCGAGCTGGTAGTTCTGGTGGGGGTCCAGGGGGGTTGAGTGAGTTTGCAAATTTCTTAAAGGCTGAGCCTTTTGATTTCGAGTTTTCATCTTTCTTGTTCATGTAGTCGCCTTCCTTAAACGACGGAAGTTCCTCAGCGTCGCCTTTCTTCTTGGCCTTTTTAGTTTTATCCTTTTTCCGCTTTCCAAGAGCCTTTTCTACCTCTGCAAAGATAAGCAATCCGGAGAAAAAAAATGTAAATCATCGGCAGTTAATGTTACCTTAGTTCTCTCACTGCATAACCTAATAAATTGATTTGAATTTTTCATGCCCAAATGGTTCAATTTATCCGTGTAAAAGCTGGATAAATCCGTACCCAGTGGATAAGTATTAGGGAAACCAATTGCATTATTAATTAGACAGAGATTTATCTCGTGGATAGCATTATCCACGTTTTCAACAATTGCATGGTTACTACAGCCAGAGATTTCTGAAATTGCCTGACTTTTTCCTGACAAATGTAAAATTTCCCTGATCAACTGAATTAACAATTTCACATATTAGTCCTCATGACTGAATCAACCCTCCCCTCACAGCATCCTCTCCACCAACTTATATACGCTTTCAGCAAGTCACGTGCAGTGTACATGACTTGATAGTTCCTTAACATAACATGCAAAAAGGATTTATTCTCTTTAAAACCCAACATCAGCTTGTCGTTCAATTTCATGAACAATAATTACCAGTACAACATGATTTATGTCCATGAAATTTAAAAAAGAATCTTTAATGTTAGAAAACAATAAAACTAGAGGGAAAAATAGATATATACTCTTTAAATTTCACTTTTCCCTGACTTCTTTCCAAGACTTAAATTTTCCCTGACTTAAAGTGAAATTCCCTGACTTTCCCTTGACCATTTCATAACCTGTGGCAGGCATGAACTGAAGGCCGATATCGGCTCTTTCCAACTTTTAAACAACTTGGGCAGACTACTGTACTCAAAAAGAACTATTACTACTATTATTTTTTAACAATAGCTAATATTTTGAGAAACGAGTAAGAATCACCATTAAACCTAATGTAACACCCTCCATACAGAGAGGGCTGCAATTCACTGACAGTGGCTTTAAAAGTCTCAACAACCTGGCTGGTTTTCTTCACTGAATGAAAAGTGGTTTTTACAGCAATCCACTTTGATTTCCACTCTTTCCATATGAAAAAAATACACCTGGAGCTCACGAAAAATCTTCCAGAAAAAGCCATCCCCAAATCAGAAGAAATCGGCAGCAATGCTGCACAGATGGCAAGAAAAACCCATTAATGTAGAACTACTTTTGGAAAGACCTTTAATTACCTTCGTCAACACTACTGGTTGAAAAGACTGTGTTCAACCACTTGTGGATCTCTGAAAATGTTGGACGATCTGCATGATCCCAACTCCAACCTAAAAACACATAGCAACAAAGTCAAAAGCCTGTCTAGATCATAACTGGTAATAAATTATACCCTCTTTTAATGGTTTGAGTGGTTATTTTTGTGTTTTGCTCAATTTGGTCAAGTGTTGCCAGTGTTGGAACTTCGATAAATTTCTTGACACATCTCACTTGTCTGAAACACCTGTGCACCACTAATTATTTTAAATTGCAATAATATTCATGAATCCTATCTCATGATCTAGGACTGATCAACAGAAAATAATTCTTTTAGATTGTCGATCCCAAGGATAATTGATGAGTAATCTCTAATTTTACCTAAGGTTAATTTTGATTTTGTCGGTAATTTAAAAAGTAGTTAATTGACAAAATTTCTTTGTTTTGTAAAAAAAANTCAAGTGTTGCCAGTGTTGGAACTTCGATAAATTTCTTGACACATCTCACTTGTCTGAAACACCTGTGCACCACTAATTATTTTAAATTGCAATAATATTCATGAATCCTATCTCATGATCTAGGACTGATCAACAGAAAATAATTCTTTTAGATTGTCGATCCCAAGGATAATTGATGAGTAATCTCTAATTTTACCTAAGGTTAATTTTGATTTTGTCGGTAATTTAAAAAGTAGTTAATTGACAAAATTTCTTTGTTTTGTAAAAAAAATGTACTAGTCTATTATTAGCATTTTATCATTGGAAAATGCTTAAATTCTTTTAAGCCCTATGTGTTGTATTAAAACAAAGTAAAGAGACTTTTAAATTTTGTTTAACTGTATTTAAAGATTTATTAGCCTTTTAGTGCTATGGATCCGTTGTGTACGCTATGAATACTATTATTATTTTGTGATGTTGCTAGTTAAATTCTTAAAATAGATGTTAAGCAAGCCCAAGCCAATATAAATAAATAAATAAATAAAATAAATAACGATTTGCAGGTAGCACATCCACATAGTGGTTCTTCGTCTACCTGATTCCTGGTCGAATTGGAATTTGGAAATGTTGGTTTTTGAGGACAGAGGAAAACCGGAGTACCCGGAGAAAAACCTCTCGGAACAAGGGAGAGAACCAACAACAAACTCAACCCACATATGGCGTCGAGGACGGAATTTGAACCCGGGCCACATTGGTGGGAGGCGAGTGCTCTAACCACTGCGCCACCCTTCCTCCCCAATATAAACATTTCGCTACTCTGAAATTATAACTCAAGGTAATATTGAACTCACATTTTTTCATCATGTCATAGACCTCCTGAGGACAGCCATCAGGGCAAGGCATTCTATAGCCGGATTCCAACATTTCATATACTTGTGACAGGTCAATTCCTGGATATGGTGACATCCCATAAGTTGCAAGCTCCCACAATAGAATTCCAAATGCTGTCAGGTCAAAAGAAAATTGAAGTAAAATGCCACTTAATGAAACATTTTTGACTTTCTGTAGCAGATTGATGAAGGAAAGGTGACTTACATGCAAACCTCCCAAACAGAGAGATGATTAAGTAGAAAAAGACAGAAAAACTAGACTTCAGCAAATGTGCATTGTCAATGATTGCAAACTCCCACATTTTTTTAACTATGGGAATTGCAAGATCCTTTTGGGCTCCAGGTACATACTCATATGGATTAAAAAAAAATTCGAACAGATTATCTGGTTTCCCCCTGATGATCAGATCCTGGCAGGATTACAGTCTTGTGACATGGACTTCATAAAAACACCAACACTGCAGAAGACTGCAAACTCTAGTGTTAATTTGGCAATTATTGCCAGATTAATCCGAGACTTTGCAGTCTTCTCAACAGTGTCATACAAATAAAAGAAGCCCAAAATTCCCTCACCCACCCCTTCCCCTGAATCACCAGTGCCGTTATCACTATCATGCGTGTATCTACATGTGTGTTCCAACACAGTAAATTAAAATAATAAGAGTTTTCAGGACTGTGCTCTAGCAGAGCCCAGTGGCCCCTGGTGCCTAAAACTTGCTCTTGGGCGACTAGACAATCTCAGATTTTTCATACAAATCATATGCTGGGCACCCTCGATTTTACAGGTTCAGAGCATTGGACTCCCTTCAATTTTCCTTAAAGCACAGCCTCGGTTTTGTTTTGGAAGCCTTCACTCCTTCAGGGTCTCCAAATAATATCCTGCTAGGGTAACATGAGAGCTGGTTGGGTCAAAAAACATAAAAAATAAAAAAAAGTAGCAGTAAGGTTGCAGTTACTTTACTTCACCTCTCTAACCATGGTATTATTTATACTTCACTAAAACTGTTGACATAACATACCCCAGACATCAGATTTAATTGAAAATGTGTTGAATGCCAGTGCTTCAGGGGCAGTCCACTTAATGGGGAATTTTGCACCCTCATGAGCAGTGTAGATGTCATACGTCACAAGTCTTGACAGACCAAAGTCAGCGACCTTCACTAGGTTGTTTTCCCCTACAAGACAGTTCCTTGCAGCAAGATCCCTGTGGAAAGATTAATCAGGTCAAGAGACAAGCAGTCACACTTAAGTAAAAGCTGATTCCTTTCTACAACTACAAGAAAACAGCCTCAAAAGCAAACTCATTCTGCTAAGCAGTACGGAAATCCAACTAATGATGATGAGAGTAGCTTATTTATACTTTAATATATGTAAAAGCGAATAATAAACAACAGTATATTCAATTATAGTAGACCTGCCAACCCCTGATAAAGAAATATCTGGACACTCATGAAAAAGGATCTGAAGACTCTACAAAAAGGAGTGAGATTCTAGTTCTTCCCCAATCAAGATAAAATAAACCCTTTTTCCATTGGGGTGATTAACTGTTTATTTATATATATCCGTGTGCTTTCACATAACAAGATGCTGCTTTCTTAAGTTTCTAGGATGAACTTATACAGCCAGAAGTGGTTTCTCATGGATAAGCCAATTTCAAGGTCAAAATTTTAATGGCAGGAAAATTGCTTCCAGTCATTTAATATACAAGTTTAGCTGAGTTAGAGTATTTAATATATATTTTTTTTAACATACCAAAAACACTCCATCATTTTACCCCAAAAATGTTAAAATGACAAAGAGCAGTGTATACACATATCACTTGGAGTGAGTAACTGACTCTGTGGTTACACAAAATACATGGTGTGGTGACATAAAATGTGACCACCATCTTAGATCACAAAAAAGTTTCACAGGGTCAAAGATTAAGTACCAACCACAAACAATTTGGAGTGTACGCTCTTATTATTTATTCTGTGTAGTTTTTGTTAAAATTAATAATTTATACAGATAACTTTGCCTCCATCAAGTTCCTTCCTATTTGACACCTCTAGTCTACTTCCCTCTAAATACAAGAGTAGCTTACACACTCATGCACATAAAGAGTCCACCACAATACCTGTGAATAAAATTCATACTCTCCAAATAGGACATAGCATCAGCTACTTGAGTTGCCATGTACATCAGGGTGACGGCATTGAGATCCTTGCTGGCAGGACTTCGTAAATAGTCCAACAAATTCCCATGAGGCATAAACTCAGTAATGATGTAAAATGGTGGTTCTCTTGTGCAGACACCCAACAATTGAACAAGCCGAGGATGTTTAATTTCCTTCATAACTGAAGCTTCTTTTAAAAATTCATCTACTTCCATTGTCTCCTCCTGAAACATGAGATCTCATCAGCACTATGCTCAAAAAGACCAACAACAATAAAATTAATAATGTAGTACAAATTGTAACAATAACATCAACAACAACATCAGTGTCAATGTAAAGGTCATACGGGGTCTGGAAGGAGGTCCTGATCCTGCAATCCTGCTCCTTTTTAACGACAATCCCACATCCCAAACTTCTGTCATACAAATGTATCTACCCCACACACCGCTTTCTTTCCCAGTTAACCACATCACATGCCAAGATTTTGGCAGAACATGCTTCCCAAGTAGTGGTCATATCCTGTATCCTGTCTACAATTTTTGCGTTTTCCCGGATCCTGCACTGTACTTCGTTCAAATCCTGGATCCCGCAAACACCCTTCCAGACCCTGGTCACAGTGAATGTATCAAAACAAGTTTTGAGAAATGTGGTCTTTTGGGATGAGAGCTGCCTAGTAAGCATGGGTAACGTAGATCTCACGGAGGTCTCCTCTGAATAAAAGTGTCCCTTAAACAGAGGTGTCCCAATGGACAGGACTCAACATGTAATTCGTAATGAACTCAACAAAATCAGCCTCTGTATTTGCACTGGAAGTACTCACTGTAACATGGTTTAACTGTATGTATTGACTAAACTAAACAACACTAACCCTAAGCGTCTTGACAGCTATGGGCCTATTATACTTCTTTGGTGGTTCTCTTGTGCAGACACCCAACAATTGAACAAGCCGAGGATGTTTAATTTCCTTCATAACTGAAGCTTCTTTTAAAAATTCATCTACTTCCATCGTCTCCTCCTGAAACATGAGATCTCATCAGCAATATGCTCAAAAAGACCAACAACAATAAATAATGTAGTACAAACTGTAACAATAACATCAACAACAACATCAGTGTCAATGTAAAGGTCACACAGGGTCTGGAAGGAAGTCCTGATCCTGCAATCCTGCTCCTTTTTAATGACAATCCCGCATCCCAAACTTCTCTCGTACAAATGTATCTACCCCACACACTGCTTTCTTTCCTAATACTGCATCCCATGCCAAGATTTTGGCGGAACATGCTTTCCAAGTAGCGGTCAAATCCTGTACCCTGTCTACAATTTTGCGTTTTCTCGGATCCTGCACTGTACTTCGTTCAAATCCCGGATCCCGAGAACACCCTTCCAGCCTCTGGTCACAGTGAATGTATCAAAGCAAGATATGAGAAATGTGGTCTTTTGGGATGAGAGCTGCCTAGTAAGCGTGGGTAACATAGATCCCATGGAGGTCTCCTCTCAATAAAAGTGTCCCTTAAACAGAGGTGTCCCAATGGACAGGACTCAACATGTAATTTGTAATGAACTCAACAAAATCAGCCTCTGTATTTGCACTGGAAGTACTGACTGCGACAGGGTTTAAATGTATTGTATTATTTAACTGTCACTGTATTGAATAAACTAAACAACACTAACCCTAAGCGTCTTGACAGCTATGGGCCTATTGTACTTCTTCCACATTCCTTCATAAACCTCTCCATACTGTCCGCCACCAAGCCGATGCTTCATAGCAATTTCTGTCCTGGGTATTTCCCACTCATCCGGCTCAGGTGAAAAGCTATAAACGGCTGGTTTATCAGTCTTTGCTGCTGGATAGTGCAGAGTTGTTACAAGTCCATCTGCATGTACAGAATGATGGTGAATTAGCTCTGCAACCGAGGCAAATCTGTTTTCCGTTGAAACATACATTTGTCCATCAAAAGCATTGTTAATTCTGTAATGATACACACGCGAATCAAATCGCAATGAGATTGATAACTGCCCTGGGCTACTTTCACTTTCACGAACAAGAAAACTACCATTAATTCCACTACTGAGGAGATACTCAGCGGCATTACGAGATATCTGTCCATGATACCAGGAGTGTTTTTCCAAGCTGTTCACTGGTTTAACATAATTGGCTGGTAGCCATCCAATGTTTCCATTCCTTGTTTGTCCCTCACACCATTCATTTGTGTCGTTGTAGCGCCAAATCTCAACCTCCTCTCCAATTCGAATACTGAGTTGATTGCTGCCACTAGCTTGAAAGTCATAAATGGCAACAAATATTGATTTGTCCTGGTTGTCTTCTCTTAAAAGGTCATCCTTGGAATCCCAATTTGCTGCTTGCTGTTCTAATGGAGTTTCTGGCAAAGGCCTTCTTGAAAGGTCTTTATAATAAGGAATATGCAAACACAAACATAGTAAGATAAGACTGCACCATAAACTTATGAATAGTATGTTTTTGTGAAAGCAAATTTATTTCTATTACGTTTCATATTACTCATCATAGAGCTCAAACTAGTACCCAACATGAAGTAGATGGCCCATTTGAATTAAACCCCTGTCCCACTTCATTCTAAAAACTGTCAAATCCGTGCAAGTGCTTGGGCCAACTAATAAATTAATGTTCCTCAGTCCTCAAATAAGAGCCTCTGGTATAGCTACAGAGTACGGGACCAATTCTCTACTGTAGATATATTCATTGGGGTAGCTCAGTGGTCCAGGAGTCCTGACTGAAGAGCCACCGAGCTACCGAACGACTAAATTGTATATGTTGCAGTTAATTTTTATTTCAGTTAATTTCTCCTTTGTTTCAAATTCATTAGCACAAATTACCATACCCAAAAATAATGGAAAAATAAAAATTAACTGACAGAGATAAAAATTAGCTATAACATATCCATGAACATTTTTTATTCTTTAAGATGCAAACCCCTACTGATAAGCCACTGAGTCACTAAGATATATATCTACGTTTACTTACTCTTTACAGTGCGACCTTATTGTGTTATGACCAATCACAGCAAAGATCAGGACACCCAAACTGGCCACAAAATCACAAACTAAATACCATTGCTGTTTGCAGTTGATTTTCTTTACGCCTGATTGGCTTTTTTCTTGCAACACAATAACATTCCAGAAGTATTTCTGATGTTCACAGTTTTCCCCACTTTGACCATAAAATAGTTACTTATACAGTGTATGCACCTCGCTCACTATCTAATTTAGCACTAATCTTTGTTGTTCTTTCAACACTCATTATGACTGGTAAGCCACCAAACCACTCCTGTTTAAAGGGGCTATGCCATGGTTCATGTATTTGCCATCTTTTTGAAAAGTTAAAATGTCTATTCCATTAATTGACTTCCAAAAATAATGTTCCTGTCAGTGTTGTTATTTAAGTTTTAATGCCATGCCTACAAAAATCACCATTAAAAAAATTATGGTTAGTGCTTCCTGAAGAAATTTGTTTTATATCTTATATCTTTGTTTTATATATTTATGTTGTATTTGAAGTATTTGAGTGCAGTGCCTGTAAACTAGCTGGATAAGCTAAAAGCACCTTCCACAATAAACAAGCCCTTTAAACCCTTTTTTTATATCTTTTAGGAGCATTGCAGGTAACTTTTTAGGAGCATTGTAGGTAAAGGAACTAAGTAATGCCTTGAGGACAGAATTGACCTCAAACAGTAAATTATAGAGCGGTTTTCACTTGACTGTCGAAAGGGATTGGTTTTGGTTTTGGTTTTGGTTTTACTACGCCCTTTGGTTGGCTAGTGTATTTACTTTGGTTTTGGTTTTACGACAGTCAAGTGAAAACCGCTCTATCCTCATGACACACCTAGCCCCTTTAAGACCTTACACTGTGGCCCTGTATTCTATAGTTGCTCTGAGCCTCTCCCCACAGGCCTTGAAATAAGAATCTCCCCCTAACTTCAAAAAAGTAAATAAGTTGCCAGCATCTAACTATGTATGAATGGTAGGTAACTATTATAACATTCCATGAAAAAAAAAACCTCAAGTAAAAAATCTAATGGAATTTAGTTGAGATAAAATAGTTCAGACAAGGAATTTGCATTTACCGGTACTTTGAACAATAAAAAATACCAAAACAGCATCACGTATCTATATTCGGAATTTTTTTCCTGTTCCACTGACTGATTGTATTGATGATGTGTTTTGAATTTTTGTAAGGTATTCTCTCATATCTAGAACTGATCAGAAACACTAACAGCAACCTTGACACAAAGAAATGGCATGGAAAAATCCCAAAACCAAACTGCAACACACAACTACATTTACATCAACACACACACATCAAGGTTCAAGATGGGAACATGAGGATAACAATATTACTAAAAGATAATTATTATCTGAAGATAATGTGTTTAGTTCTTCAACATGTTACTCCAAGATTTCCTAACTTTAAAAAGAATGTTTTAGTGTTGACAAACCTTGGGCAGTCAAAATAAACATTTCTGATTCGAACCTGTATATGATATGTACAATATACAAGTACAACAACAATATGACGTTCAATTGACTCATAAGTTTAATGAAAGCATAGATAATGTTTGACAAGAGGGTCATTGACTTAAAGCTTCAAGATTAAGCAACTAGTTCCAGACATACTGGAATCGCTAAGGAGAATACGTAATAAGTCAAAACCGGCAAAATGTGTGACTTTTAGCTTTTTGATCAGCCTAGATCATGCTTGTTTGGATTGTTAAGTTTGCTGACCAAACTTCAAGGAATCATCAATTACGCTACCACTAATTACGCGCGCTCTGATAAGTTTGGACAGGAAATTTTACGAATTCGCATCACCATATCACGATTTATAAAACCTTTCTCTAAGTTCATCCTCTTTCGAATTTAAGAGTTAATACTGGGCGAATATTTTTTGGCCAATGATATATCACGATGATATGAAAATGGCGGACGTCCAGGTTTTATCTCGCTAACTACTGAAAGAACTTCACCCGATTGTTTCTATGAATTCAGAGGATATGAACCTCTGTTTAAATATAGCGATGAGACAAAATGATCTGCTTCAACCCATCTCAAAAGCAAACAGAAAATATCTTACCGCATACCACTACCAAACTACTAAAAGTCTCGTGCAGAAAAGCAACTTGTGGTTTGCATGAAATCCTAAGATATCAACTTGAACCGATTCAAAAAGGTGGAGTTTAGCATTTCAGTGCTTAGCATTGGCTTACCTGAAGAAGCCTGTAACTCGGATTTTTCAGCATCTTTATTCTTTATCAACGACTTGCTATTTTTGCCAGACCTTCCTCGTTCCGCAAAAGCTTTTACTTGCTGTTGACCCATTGCATGGCTTACCAATAAGCCTTGGGTTTCAGATGTCCACCCACAAACGCCATTCTTTAACCAAATAATCGACGAAAACCTCCAGTGTAAATATATCAGAACTCTCACCGAATCAAGTTAATATATTCCATCACATTTTAAGCTCAACAAATTCACAAGAAACATAATCAAACGAGCTTAACATTACAAATTTTCTCCCCCTTCCTTCCTTTTTCTGTGTCATACGACCCGGAAACTAGGCCCGACCCAGTCCCTTTCAGCGGAAATCGATAAACATGCGCAAAGACATCGTTTCTTCTTGCGCGCTAAATTCAAGATGGCGTTCGCGACAAGATCAGTGAGGTAACCTTTGAAAAGTTTATAATTTTCTATGCTAACAAGCTCTTGCGCTATTGTAATCGATAGATAAAACGTTTGCGGAGTAAAAATTTGCACAGATCCTAAAATAACTTAATGCGTGCGGTTCTGTTACGTGCAATGCACTCTTCAGGTTAGATTCCAACCTCACCATCTACCCACTTTCTAGTGTTAGCTGTTTATCAGCAAACGTGCCTTGTAGAATAGAAGGGTTCACGGTAGTGGCAAGTAGGGCAAAGTAGAGCAAACATAGCGGAGAATTTTATGGGAATTTGATGTCAGCTAACTTGGATAGAAAACATCCATACACTTAGCTTGTCTGTATTAAAATGTTTGCAACAAACGTGAGAGAAATGCATGTATACCTGCCAACTCTCACGTCTTAGGCGTGAGTCTCAAGCCTGCAGGTTGAAAACTTCGATCTCACGCCGGCTCACGCCTGCGGGCCAATTTCTCACGCCTGATTGAAAAATGTGAGTTGTTGCCGTCTTATTTGACACAATTTCCAAAAATATGTTAACTCAGACCCATGTAAGGAACGAAAACCATGTGTAAAATGAATAAATGACAATACCTTCCTCGCGATCTCTGATTTTGTGGATAAGCATTTTCTCGATAACTTCGCCTTCGGCAAACTTCGCAAGTCTTCAGAAGACTTCAGACTTCTTCGGAAGACTTCGGACTTCTTCGGGAATCTTCGGAAATGATCGTGTCGTCTGCAAAAATCCCAGCACTCCCGGGATAAAATCTCACACTTATATCTCAGAAAAAGTTGGCAGGTATATGCATGTAGGGAAACAATACACATTTCGTAAGCTTCCCACTGAAGATTTTAATTTTTACACTGCTCAAATTTGTTAAGTAAATCTTTCACCAGCTACCTATAGCTTTCAAGCCATGGATGTACAAGACATTGATCAGATTTTTATGATGTTATGTGACATCAGATTCCCATAACACTTTATTTTCCACTATGTTTGCCAAATTTCAAAATGGCAAACAATGACTGTGAACAGGGCTTGAAATGATTTCCGGTGAGTCTCCGGACACAATGACCAGCCAAATTCATTTTAGCTCCGTCACGTATCGTTCTGGCCGGTCAAATTTAGAAGATAAGTAACTCTTAAAACAGGGGCCCATGAACCAAAACTGGCATTATATATTTCCAAAAAAGTCGTTGCTTAGAACTTATAGCACTTTAAAACGCTCATTGTCAACAATAAAAATAAATTAATGTACACATTAAATTTGTCCAGCGCCTCCAAATATAATGTTTTCTGGTGTACATATCATGGTGTGAGATTTTGATTCTAAAACTCCACCAGTAATCCATGTTACTCCCCATTATTTGGGAAGAAAATTGACTAACAAAAGTGAAAATAGTTGTAATTTTTGGTGACTGGAAGTGCGTGAACCCTGATGTCTGTAAACAACTGTTCTAGTTGCATTTCAGCCATGATTTCAGATCAAAGTTCCGCAATACACAGTGACTCGCTATATACTGATAACAACTGAAACAACTGAACAGCATGGAAATTTTAACATTTGTTTCATTTTCAATATGACTGAATGTGACCCAGTCAAAATGACTGGCAAGACGAAAGGTTGACCGGTCAACTCCCCAAACAGTCCAGACATTATCCGTTGACCAGCTGTTAGTTCGAGCCCTGGTGAAACCTTTTATACAGGTCCAATATTGGTGCATTAGCAACTGAATAGCTTGGTAGCGTGTCAGTCAAAGTTACCTAAAAAGATGACCCCGCATTATATACAGGTACTTAGGACGGTCACTTCATTCCAAGCCAGATTGTTCCACTTTAAAGTGGTCAGATTATTTCANATTTTAACATTTGTTTCATTTTCAATATGACTGAATGTGACCCAGTCAAAATGACTGGCAAGACGAAAGGTTGACCGGTCAACTCCCCAAACAGTCCAGACATTATCCGTTGACCAGCTGTTAGTTCGAGCCCTGGTGAAACCTTTTATACAGGTCCAATATTGGTGCATTACCAACTGAATAGCTTGGTAGCGTGTCAGTCAAAGTTACCTAAAAAGATGACCCCGCATTATATACAGGTACTTAGGACGGTCACTTCATTCCAAGCCAGATTGTTCCACTTTAAAGTGGTCAGATTATTTCACAATATAGTCAGAACATTTCATGATTCTTTAAGCCACGAGTAGAAACAAGGGCACTACTCGTGTGTATGCCTGTTTCATTCTTTTTAACCCAAAAAGCCAAAAAAGTGTGCCTCACATAGAGTTTTACACTGAAACTGTGAAACGATCTGACTATAAAATGGCACGATCTGGTTTGGAACAATCTGGCTATAGAACGAAGTGACCGTAAACTTTTAGGTCTAAAGGTTGTGTTAGAAAAAACATGAATGAAAAAAGCATTCTGTATTAAGCTTTACTTATTAGCTGTGGCTGTGTGGGATGTGAAATCTACTTTAATTTATGCAAAAAGATGAATATTATCCCTCTTAGTAAACTTAGTTACTGCAAAAATAAGCTCAAATCAAAGAACTGCTAAACTGACCTCCTTATTAAAAAAGAAGGAGGCAAGCTGCGCTTAGAAAAATTGAAATATGTCAGCATGATATGACTTTCAACATTTTTTTAAATTTTACTTTGTTGTTATAATCTTGGTATCAGGAAAAGATCAAAGAAGAATGAAGATGTACCAGAGGTATGGTTGGTTTTAATGACCTTTATTTGTTTTTTGTTGATGTTGTTGTTGTTTTTTAATACTTATACAAAAGACATTAAGGTAGGTATTGGGTGAAAAGGTAAATGAGTGACAATGTAGCATTCATACATATGTACCACAGGACTCCAAAGTCCTGTCAAAGGCCTGGTTTCTGCCACATAAAAAAACGGTAACAGTTAGCAGGGTCCCCACACTGTCTGCGTCGAATAGCCTTTGTTCAGTGTATTAGTGTGAGTATATTTATTTACTGTATTTCTTTTGCGGTCAGTAAAGTTGCCTCCTATTGTTGTTGATGAACTTCAGCACCATCGTTTTATCCTTGTTTGCTCATGTGAAGTCATGTTTTTGAGAGTCTCATAACATGACTTTTGCAATTCCAAGTCAGCAAGCTCTGGTTGCCATTTTTCCCCGGTAGTGTACATAAAAGGTTCATACCAATATTAATTCTTACTTGCAGATGTGGAGAAGTCTTTCTCAATTTGATTCTCTTAGAGGAAGGTCATTAGAAACACTGTGCTATAGGTCTTTTGAATGAATTTTGTAGGGGCTTGTGACTTCATTGCATAATTCCATTTTCAACAATTCCAAGCAATCTGTGGCTTCTTTTATTATTCATAAGACATCTTTCAGGGCCATCTGGAAGAAGGCAGTTGGTTTTGCTTGTTTGTCACTATGAATGAAAAAATACTTTTTAACCCATTCGCTCCTGGAGATTTTGCCGAAAAACGCGTTTTGAAGCTAGTCGAGTGGTTTTCTGGTCACTGTCGTGCTATAAAGGGCTAAAACTTACCACAAACCGGTTTACAGGTCGTACACTTGGCGGCCTTCTGATCCAGATGCAAAACATCAGCTTGCGAAGTTCGGGCACGCGCAGAAAGCAAAATTTCGAGGTAGTTTTTGGCTTTAAAAGTGACACAGCAGTCTTGACTTTTACTTTTCGCTTTTTCTCCTCCCTTCTTTTTTCGCTTTTCTTGCCTCAATTTTTTTTTCTCTTGCTGGGCATTTAGTAGGCTTCATTTTGGTGGGAAGAGTTTTTAGGAAAGCTTTTAGAATCTTAGGATTAGGTGAAAGGAAAGGTAGGTGGGCAATGGAACAAGATTTTCATGGAGATTTTCAGGTCAATGTCACGTGGTTTTTTGCTTCTTTCACCGGTGTCCTTGACTGAATTGTGCTCATTCTGGTATGGTTTGAAAGATCTCTTCACTCTACACAAGTTAGCGAAGAAAGTTGTCCTTGACCGTTAAAACTGATGAC